AGCACTGGGATACATACAGAGCACAGGATGGGCTAACCTGTTTGCCACAATGTCCCTGCCACTGCACTGGGGCACTGGGATACATACACAATGTACCGATCGAGAGGACCTACTGCATGGCCCTGACATAAAACATATGCATTACTTACAGCAGTTTTGTTTCCGTACTTGTTTTCTGGCAGCACTGTAACATGTAATATAACAACTGAACTTTTTTGACTTGCAACACCATACTGAAACTCAGGTGCTAAAAATAAAAAAAAAAGTTTCCTTGGTGGTTTTAACACTTGCTAGATGTATGTGTCAAACAACCAAAAAGACTGTGAGGGATAAAGAAAACTGTGAAAAAAACAACAGTGTTAATCGATGACCTTGAAGGATACGGCTTGCCAAATGTCACAAAAATAAAATGTCAGAATAAAGGTTCAAATGCAAGCTTCATCTCAGTGTTCCTTCAGGTCTATCAGTACCAAAATATGCAAAAGCCAAAGAAGGGTGAGATCTACAAAGTTTTACAGGGGATGTGTTTTCTGCACAAAATTTGGCACTCATGAGCAGGCCAATAATACTTAATCTTTGTTTCATGGGTACTGAGCCATACGAAGGGTTTAAAACCTTATCTAAATTTATCTAAACTTCATGTATAATAAACATGTTTTAAATGCTTTTTTTTAAGATATTGTCATTTTCAAATCTATATAAATGCAAATGTGATTAAAGAAGAATAGCAATAGAAGAAAATTAAATTTTAGACGCTGCTCACTGGTGAGTCGTGCTATTTTTAGAACAGGTCCGCGGGCGACTCATGTGGTCCTTGGGGGCGTCCTGGTGCCTGCGGGTATCATGTTGGTGACCCCTGGTTTAGCTGATGAAATCCCATGGCTGGAAGGGTGATGTCATCATTGGTCCCGTATGCATGGCCCTTAACCCTGATCACTCCAGGAACAGCAGCTGACTCTGCTCTCTGATCCTTACTGTGCTAAATAAGCATAAAATATCACATTGTTTCAGCTGTTAATGACAGACTGCCTTATACAGGGAGTCTCAAATATAGGCCTATCGTTATTTCCTGAATGCGTTTGAAAGAATGAAGCAATTGTCATATTCAATTTGAAATTTGAAGTGAATTTAAGAAACCTGAAAAGTATGAAATTCAATAAAATGGCCATGCTAGTGCAAAAGCATTTAATCCCCATGCAGGCATCATACTCGCGATCTTTAACTGTAAGTCTAAGGTCAGAGCTCCTTATGTGGGAACAAGGCCCCTAATGCATACAATTGACTGGTCGGTCAATAACATGTCAGCAAATTAATTTTCAGTTCTTATTCTGATAAAGCAGCGATTTACCCTGCAGCTCTGACCTTTTCTGTGACAGAGCTACCTTGTCTTCTTTTCATTATGCTGCACAATGCTGCGAATTAATATGGGGTCATTGTGTCACCTATTGAGAGAATGTACAATGCAGACTAGGGCCCAAGGTCAGAAGGTTGCTGATCGTCAGCTTCAAATGCACCAGGGACCATCTGACTCTGCTCTGTCGCTTCAGATGAAAGGACTAGTGAGCACAATGCAACGCACAGCATTCAACAGTAATGCAGTTCAACTTTGTCTTTGTTGTGGATTCTGTCAGCGAGCAGGTACAAAAAGTGTTGCACAGAGCAGGGGTGGGACATTTGCTGGCATATTGAATCAGTCTTGCCTTTCATGCAAATTTTCATTGAGTTTTTTGCATTTATATTTAACTAATTTTCAAACACTGGTTTTAAATTGGATTTTTTAATGGACCTAGGAGCATTATAAGAGTATTATACATTACTTGCTGTCTCTGAATTTATGCTGAAACAATGAACATTATGACATTTAGACATTATGAAGAATTATTTCATACTGCTGCCACTCTAGACACAGAATGTCTGCGTTTTCCCGGCCTCATTAACAAAAACAAACACTGGTCTTTCCTTAATAAATCCACATGACTTTTAATATGAATTTAAAACCACATTCTCAAGGTCAAGCTACTTGACTCAATGTTAATCAGCAGTGACAAATCACCTCGTAGTTCATGAATCTAATTTAATGAAATTTCTACAGTAAAGGGACAAACTACCAGATCTCAAAATGGGGGGGGGGGCAACTCTTGCAGGAAGTAGGTGGGATAGGGTATAAATGAAGGGGCTATGGTTAGGGTGTCACGTACAGACATATAAAGAAGTTCAAAATGAAAGTGAAGGAGGGTAATGAGAGGCAAGCGTCTTAAAAGGTGAGTATTTTATAATGATCTAAACCCGTCACATATACTGTATATGCACACATTCATATTTATACATACACACAGGTCATATCTAAGTATGCCTTTTCATACAATCGCATAGTGCCAGAGTATAACAGGTGGCTTATACAAGTTTCTGTTTAAATATTAATTAATGGATGATGTAGAAAAACTGAGTACTATTTAATCAACATGGTGTCAGGGATCATCATATGAAGGAGACTGAGGGGGGACATGATCCAGGTCTATAAGATTCTAACAAGTTTGGATGCTGTTCAACCGAATAG